AAACATTCCTTTTTGTGTTCTCACCCCATGAATACAGGAAAATAAAAACAGTTTAGAATTTGCCCAAGAAAAATATACAGGTCAGGTTGGATTAGAAAAAGATCAGGTTGCCAAATTCCCAGGCAGCAGGTGTTTTATTTAGTGTTTTTCAGGGGCTGCCAGAAAATCCACACTATAAACATTTCATAATCTAGGGGAAGGCAGAGGGGGTCCGGGAGGGATGCTGGTGGGCAAGGCAATCCTGTGTCTTTAATTTTCTTTTCTGAAGGAAGAAAGTCTGCATAGCAATGACAGGATCACTTGTTCATGCCTTTAATGTGTGATCTGTTTTCTCCAGTGGAGGGCACTCAGTGTATCACAAACTAGAACATTAGCACCAACAAGCTCCAAAGCATCATCACTCTCTGGAAAGCCTTCTGAATTAGACAAGAGCTGCCTCTCAGCACAGCTACAAAACACTTTAAACCTGACCAGCTAAATGGATAAACCTACCCTGCGTAGCTTTTAAACTGGGGTCTTACACAGTGCAGGAGGCCTGCCTGCTTCAGGAGCTGGGAAGCTGGAGGATGGATTGCTGTGCCTGGGAATGGCAAAAGGCAGCAGAATGAGAAACGCTAGGTACCGGGAAAGATTTTTGTATTTCTCCCAGAGAAGTTGGTTTACCTTCGTGGTCTGCTATAGCTTTTGCTTGCTGATTGCCACTTAATGCTGATGGTTCTCTGATGACTTACCCAAAATTCTTGCTTGTCCTCTCTAGGGAACTTTGTGTGGGTTACTGGCATGCACGCTGGATGGCGGTGATGTGAGTGGCAGCCGTGCTGTGACATGAAGATTCTGATGGTTTAAAGAAAAGAGACCAGTTTTTAAAAGAGAGGGAGAGGCAAAGGGAAAGCAAAAAAGGCAAGAGAGAGAAGAAAACAGCTGGAAGAAAGGAAAAGGAGGACGTTTGTGGATGACAAAAGGATGGGTAAGTGAACTTTTCTTGTTTGTTTGTTAGCACAGCTGCAGCTCTATGGTATATTTTTCAGTTGGATTATTAGCTGTTGGAGAGGGGGAAACAGTCGAAACAGCAGCAGCGCATTCCTTTGCCAGGTGACTCACTGTACTTGCTATTGTATTTTTAGATCATGGATTCCCCCCCCCCACACACACACACATACACACCTTTCCTCCTGCAGTGGTTTTATATGTAATTAATCTGTAAATGCATGCACCGGGTTAAGGACTGTAGAGTACGGTTGCTGTCGGTGCAGCCCACCCACACACCTGCAGACGTATAGAGAAGTACATGTATGCATGAGGCACGCTCACACAACGTTTCTTCTGGGCTTATATTCATATGCGATGAGCCTGTAGCGGTATTATTCAGGCTGTCAGAGAGGGCTGTTAACACTTTGCAGTATGTGGGAAGCGAAGGGGAGGGGGTGATTTTGTTGTATAGGTGGTTTTGAAAAGGCTTGTTTGGTCTTTGAAAAGATACCCCTAATATTGCTGCTAGATTTCCAGCAGGCATTTGCCAGTCTTATTTTTTCAAGTGTGACAGGTTTATTTCCCTCCCTCCTTCCCCCCAGCCCCCAAGTCTGTAACAGCCAGAACATATTTCTAGCTGGCTGCTGCTGGCACATAGGCAGTAGCAAAAGATGAGGATTTAAATTAAAAATCTAACCATTAAAGTGAAAGGCAGAGACACACAGTCAGGGGCATTTTAGATTAGGAATTATTTTGCAGATTGCCCCTTGGTTTAAAATTGGGTTAAGTAAGCGCAGCACAGGGTTGGCTTTGCCTGTGTGACAAATAATGAAATAATTATTTATCGAGGAGTTACCAGCCTTTAAAATATTCCCCGTTGGAAGAATGCATTTTAATTCTTAGCAAGATTGCAACTCTGGACAGAGACACCAGTCCTAGAATTATTACAGGCTAAGGAAAGCGTGCGTATGTATGTCGGGTTTGCTGACAGCCCCTCCACCCCCTTTCGTAATTATTCAAAGAACGTGGAAAATGTGCCCGTCTTCCTGGAACAGCATTGCCACTGTAGGGTAAATTCGACATCTCAAAGGCAGAATCTTAAAATCAGTATTGCTGTGGAAGAGAGAGGGGAGTTGAAATAGAAATATACCCCTTTAAACTTTGTGTCTTACTGCTCCTAAGGCAGTGTTTCCATGTAAATGTTGGGGTGTATATTTTCCTAGAGCATATGATGTATACACAAAATAATAAATGCTTAGGTATTCACAGATATACATAGATAACTTTAATATGTGTTAAGACTATGATTCGGTTTAAAGAAATATGTCTTCTGCCATGATCTTGATGTTGAGGTCCCTCACTAGCGTTACATGGTATACTTCTCCATAGGGTCGTACTTTGTGTCTGTGCATCTCTTTATATATTTTAGGCACATAAAAAGAATGAGTAAACCTACTCTTAGAGACAAACCAGTGCAAAAAGTAAAGTGTTTACTCAACTGTTTGATTCTACAATACATACACATTTTAAAGGTGGATCAAACTTTACGATGAGGAGATTTCTCACTTTTTGCAGTAATTTTTGGAGGGATCGGACCTGCAATTGCTTTTATTAAAGAACAGGCTTAGCAGCACGTAAATACCAGAAGCTGTGGCTCATTTCCTCTCCAGCACTGTGGAGCATTCAGCACAGTGACTTGACAAATATGTTTATTGTTAAAACCTCAGCATCTAGCGATAAGGATATACCAGCTACATTGAGAGATGATGTACAGGAGAAAAGCGAATAGAGAACAGGCTCTTGGTCCTTCTGAGGGATCATAAATCACACGGAAGTAATTGAATAACGAGGGTAGTACTGGTGATGGTGCGGGTAGAAGAGATGGCAAGGCAGAAACTCAAAGGACAAGCATTTGCACGACAAAAAGTGCAAGGCAGGAGGCAAACAGGTTGTCTTCAAAATCCAGTGCTCCGCTAATGCTTTATTCGAAACCCCATTGACGTTAGTAATCTGTTGGCGATTTATTTTAATAGCTTTACAATGCACATTTGTTTTCTTTTTAATATTGTAGGTTTCCATTTAATTAAGCAGCTGAGAGGCATGAGTGTGGTGTTAGTGCTACTTCCTATGGTGCTGTTTGTTATGCTCGCGGGGGCTCAGCGAGCTTGCCCCAAGAACTGCAGATGCGATGGCAAGATTGTGTACTGCGAATCTCATGCATTCAGAGACATCCCTCAGAATATTTCTGGAGGGTCTCAAGGCTTATCGTTACGGTACAACAGCATTCAGAAGCTTAAATCAAATCAGTTTGCGGGCCTGAATCAGCTCATATGGCTTTATCTTGACCATAATTACATCAGCTCCGTGGATGAGGATGCATTTCAGGGGATCCGCAGGCTGAAGGAATTAATTCTAAGCTCCAACAAAATTACCCATCTGCACAACAAAACATTTCACCCGGTCCCCAACCTCCGCAATCTGGACCTCTCTTACAACAAGTTGCAGGTGTTGCAGTCTGAGCAGTTCAAGGGCCTTCGTAAACTCTTGATCTTGCATTTGCGGTCTAACTCGCTGAAAACTGTGCCGATCCGAGTTTTCCAAGACTGCCGAAACCTTGACTTTCTGGATTTGGGCTACAACCGCCTGCGGAGCTTATCCCGTAATGCTTTCGCTGGCCTTTTGAAGTTGACAGAGCTCCACTTGGAGCACAACCAGTTTTCTAAGATCAATTTTGCCCACTTTCCACGCCTCTTCAACCTTCGCTCGATTTATTTGCAGTGGAATAGGATCCGGTCTATTAGCCAAGGGTTAACGTGGACTTGGAGTTCCTTGCACAACTTGGATTTATCAGGAAATGACATTACAGGGATAGAGCCTGGGACCTTCCAGTGCCTCCCCAACCTGCAAAAGCTGAACCTGGATTCCAACAAACTCACCAACATCTCTCAGGAGACCATCAATACGTGGATCTCGCTCATCTCCATCACTCTGTCCGGAAATATGTGGGAATGTACTCGAAGCATTTGCCCTCTGTTTACTTGGCTTAAGAATTTCAAGGGAAATAAGGAAAGCACTATGATATGTGCAGGCCCTAAGCATATCCAGGGTGAAAAAGTGAGCGATGCTGTGGAAACATATAATATCTGTGCTGAAATCCAGGTGGTGGTTACTGAAAGATCATACCAGGCGCCCAAAACCCCCCAGAGACCTGTCTTCATTCCTAAACCTACCGTTTCCAAACTCGAAAGCAATCAGCCCACATCGGTTCTGCCAAGCCCTTCTGCAGACCTCCCGACGCCTGGAGTGGAGCCAGAGTACGAGCACGTTTCCTTTCACAAAATCATCGCTGGGAGCGTGGCCCTCTTTCTTTCCGTGGCCATGATTTTGTTGGTTATCTACGTGTCGTGGAAGCGCTACCCAGCCAGCATGAAACAGCTCCAGCAGCACTCGCTCATGAAGAGGCGCAGGAAAAAGGCCCGAGAGTCTGAAAGGCAAATGAACTCCCCTTTACAGGAGTATTACGTGGACTACAAGCCAACAAACTCTGAGACCATGGATGTATCGGTTAATGGATCTGGGCCCTGCACGTATACCATCTCTGGCTCCAGGGAATGTGAGGTATGAACCATGATCCTCCTAAAACCATTTCAGCTGCTGGGAAGGAGAGGTAAATGTTTGACGCTCTTGAGGTGTCTCTAAACACTAGAAAGATTAATGAGATTTTTTTGCTTTTGGGTTTGCTCAGTATGGAAGGTTATCTCCTTAAATAACAACAGTCAGGGAAGCGATGGTGATTATTTTGAATAATTCAGACTTTAAAAGAGTAGATTAAGTTGAAGTAAACAGCTGTGGTAAAGGCATCTCCTGTTTGCACCCATTTTATTTGCAGTGGCTACAAGAGTCCCATATTTAATGTATTGGTAGAAACAGGAGTTTAAGAACCTTTTCTGGTTTAAAAATAAATATGGAACCCTCTTTACTCCAGATCCTGTGTCAAATCTTGAGGGGCTTATGGTCTATTTAAAGATAATACCAAAGATTTTCTGCGTTTTCTGTCTGGTTCACAAGCAAACCAGGGGACAACAGGACTGCGGCACAACCTTAGGGTTCGGCCCTTACTTGTGTTCCTGGAGGAGCAGGAACACGCGAGCCAAGCCTTGCTAGACCCTTCTGAATTTGAGCATCTCAAGGCCCCAAGTCAAGCACTGCATTTGCCAATATCTTGTGATGGGAGAGGGGGATTCCTGGGGTATTTTTAATTTCATTTTAGCGATCAGTGAAGGCTTAGCTCGAGAGACAACTCTACAGGAGTTAAGAGTTTCATGCATTTAAGGCCGTGTTACGATTTTGACTCCGCAATGTGGGAAATACAAATAGGAAAAGCTCTCAGTGCTTCTTCTGTCTGTTGTTCAGCTTTGGCAAGAATATACCATGTTTTTTCCATTGCTGTGCTGTCGATGACTCTATTAATGTGTCTGTAAGAAATGTTTTCACTTGTGACTGCCATTGCTCGTTCATACCTGGTAAGGAGGATTTGCGCAATTACATTTCAGTGCTTGTTACTTAATCCTGCACGTGACGTGGTAGTAGGGGACCGTGGTTGATTTTGCTTCCTTGGTTGTGGACATCCTACCTGAGAGTGCTTAATGTGCCCGTTGAAATTTATTCCTGTCCATTTATAAAAAATTGGGTTTGACTGTGGTAGCTTTTGACCGACGTCTTTGGCAGCCAGGCTGTACAGAGGGGTGTTATAGAAGAGCAGTGCTGAGCAGGCTGCAGCTCCAGGATCCTCATTTATTTACAGGTGGATGTTTTCACTTTCTGATAGTAGGGCATCTTTAAAATGTTTCATATTTAGCATCTGAAACCCCTAGCTGATTTTTGACCACGGAGCTAGGGGGAAGAAAAAAAAAAAAAAAAGAAAGTGTATGTTTTGGGGTTGCTTTCTCTGGAGCAGTGTTGTCTTCAAAGAAGAAGACCAGCTCTCCTACCCTTGTCATTATTTCTACCACTATCGCGTGAATGAAGGTACAGTTTGTTGGGTTTTTTTCTGTTAGCAGCACAAGTAGAAAATAAGTGATGCTAACAAAAGTTATTTTGAATTCTCACTGGCTGCTCACAGGGAGCATTAATTTGACCTGAAAGGCTGTCTCCTCTTCATGCTCAAGTTTAACACTGCTGAAGTTTCATTAGCTTGAATAAAATGCTGTTTAATTTACACCGAGATGATATGGAAGACAGCTGAATCTGCACGCCATAACTGAAAGTCCATGTAATGAAACCATAATCTGTAACGGAGTTTGGATCATGATTGTCGTGCACAGAAGATAGGGAATAACGTCATGTTGTTTGGCAGACTGAAATTTGGATAATTTGGATTAGGGCAGATAAATAAAAAGTTGAAGAGTCCTACCAGGCCTAGGAACAGAAGGTCAATGGGGTAGAATTTCTTCACGTTGCTGTTGACTGTTACACACAGCATTAAACACCAGGGGACCCCAGCTCGCCTGGTTTCCAGGTGCTGTCGCAGTACCAGAACAATTCTGTTCCGCTCCTCTGTTCAGGTTAAGCTGCAGGACACAACACAAGGTCGCAGAGCTCAAGCTGTTTATCGTGTTGGCTGTGGGATTCTTGGTTATGGGGTAAATCCGTAAGAGGGTACTGAATGGGATGGTGCTGTGACCGGCAGAAGGTACCCCTGGATTCGCGTGGTGATTTAATGGGCATTGGCTCTTCGTACAGAAGGCTTCGGGAGGCAGAAAGCAGCAGATCATTGAAGGCACATGTAGCAACCATAAGCTCCGGCTGGAATACTATCTTCAGCTTGGATTTAACATTCTTCATCTCCATAGCTACGAGGTTCCACTTGTAAAAGCATAATATGCACTGTACAGTACTTAAAAATGGTAAGAAAAAAAAAATATCCTTGTAGCGTCTTCAGCAATGTAAAGGTTTTTTTGTTTGGGGAAAAAAAGAAGATGGACTATCTCGTTATTTACTGATTTCCCCAGGTGTACATAACTGTGGGAAAAACCATTATTTGGTACAAGTGAGACAAGGCTCAGGCTCATCCTCCTGGCGGTCTGACGTGCTCATTCACTGTGCTTGGGCTGAGGTTTCTCCCCAAAAAGGGCCACCTAGAGGGGAGAAGGGCATCTGGTTATCAGATTGAAGGCAGGCAGGTTTTCAGAATTCATTGCTTAGGAGTTTATTGAGTTTCATTTTTTTGTTAGTAGTATTTTTCAAATGATTGCTTTCACGTGTCTACCCCCCCCACATGCCTGTAAGCAGCTGAGGTGTCCACAGTTGTGCGTCTTCGTGTCCTGGCTCCATTTTAACCTGGGAAGGATGCCTGAGCGTACTCTGCGGGTCGTTGGGTGATAACGAATGGTTTCTGCGTCTGGCCTGAGGTTGTGTGAGCATGCCCGTTACGTTCACAGTGATGACTTTGGTTTTAGAAGTATCCAGCTCATCTCATCCATAAACCACTTGTTTTTCGTGGCAGAACTGGCCTCGAAATAACAGGCTTAGGTATTTATACAGGTTCTTTTTACCCCAGCAGCCACGCACATGAGCAGGGAAGGCGTGTGGTGGTGTTTTAAGTTCGGTGAGATCAGAAATCTCGCGTAACAAAGCAACGCAGGCGTACGAGAGCTGCCCTGTATTGGGGCCTTAGTCTGCAAGTTAGGAGAGTTGCAGGTTCGGTTTGTACGGCTGCTTTTTCAGGTCCCTGCTTTATGAATTATTTCGTGTACTATAGAGCGAGCGCCAAAGTCAGGCTTGCTGTAAATGGGAGCAACTCTCTTGGCATCAGTGGGATTATAATCACTGACACCTGGCCTATGGTATTCTATTTAGTCTATTGGCAAGGGTTTCTAAAATAACTGGATGCTTATGATTTTGGCTCTCACCATCCAGTTAGCAGGCTGCTGCTATCTCATTTTGGAATTTGCTTTGCTTTGTGCATGTGCATCTTACTCCCTCTCTCTTTCATATTTATTTGTACATTTGCTGAAGATCTGGGAGCCATAAAAAGAAATTTCATAAACCGAGCTATAATATTATGTATTTCATACGTACCACACACAAAATATCTGTGTATAGCACGCTGTGAAGGTATATGGGGAGAAGGAACATTGCCACAAAAACGTTTCCTCCTTTCTACGGGAAGGTTATTCATCTCCCGTTTCTCAGGCTGGCGCTTACAAAACAAATACCAACCAACCAAGTGAGCATCTTTGCTGTGTTAGCTGGGCACAGTCGCCGTGAAGCCCTTTGAGAGACGGTTGACCCAGACCCTGCGAGGATACTTTTGACACTTCTGCTTCTCGATGTCTGACCGTACCCCAGCGCCTGACGAACGAGCCCAGCCGCTCGCCTCTGCCGGGATGCTCCCGTGGCTTCCATTAGAGTGAAAACCAGGGCAGTTGTCACTTGTATTCATACAGGCTAAATCAGTCACACAAAATCATGTTCACTTAGAATTCTGCTTCGTCCCCTCTTGCCAGCAGGAAGGAATAGATTGATAAAGGAATGCAGCATATGCAAGCTTGGTGGGCTGCTGTTGACCTCCGCCTTTTGAGCCTAATCTAGCAGGAAGTGTTGACATGCCACTCTTGTTTATTAAACACCATTACTGTGTTGTTTTGAACAAGAAGCAAAAAGGAAAAAAAAACCAAAATAATCTCCATGGCCCAGATTCTGTTTACTCTGAGGTTCCAGTTCTGCGAGGCTGGTTCCGTAACTCAACTTTGGAAGGGCTGCCCAGGGGCTGAGCATGAGCTTAGGGGATATTGCAACCTGATGAGCGAAACCACTCAATGAGTTGGCAGAATTTTATTTATTTATTTATTTATTTATTTATTTATTTAGTAAGAAAACTTGATCATATTTCCTTTGGCCATCAGCCTTATGTTTTTGTAAAGAATACTTAGCAAGGACTTCACGGCAGAGGCGTAAGTTCGTTATGGCTTAGGGGAATGCAGAAGGAAGGAGGTTCCACAGGCAGTGCCTTGCAAAGAGAAGAATATGGGAGGTGAAGAGTATGGGAAGCAGTAGTTGTTCTTTAGATAGCCTACTGTCATCACTTTTGGGCCAAAGAGGTGCGGTTGTCTTTCCAGTTACGCTGGTTTGGAACATTTTCGGATGGGCAGTGTTAATTTAGCTTTCTCATACCCTTCTGTGCTACGGCTCCTCCTCTGCCTCTCCTTCTCCACATCTCTGCGGTTATAGATGGTTCTTAAATTCCTGCTTGAGTTGTAAACTGAAGGGTGAATCAATCTAATGAAACTCTGTCATAAGCTCTGTGTTTGTATTGGGAGAGTAAGCAAAGGCTGAGCTGACAGCGCTTTTCCTCGGCGCAGTATATCTGGAAGAAATATGTCAGAAGTGGCTCAGAGGTGAAATCTTTTAGGCACGGGGCCAGTGAGGGGTTTGAGGCGAAGATAAATTTTAGAAGTGTCTTCAGGTTTAGGATCAAAGGTGGAAATTTGTGCTTGTTACCGTTCGGAGGCTTCGTTAGCATTGCATACTTCTTATTGCAAGTATAACGGCAGCGTGCAGAAAGCCGTGCTATGGAAGTGCTAGTGATACAGCAATAAATGCACAGGGGCAAACTG